AAACCCTAAACCCTAAGCCCTGTTCTAGTTGTGAAGGCCCACGGGTTGGAGTTTACTGAGTTCCGGAGAAGAACCGTCTGAGTTTCAGCTTAAGTATCAGCATGAGGAAGGTGGTCCTTGTTCTGGTAGCTTCAAAAGAGTCCCTGTCACCCCGTCACCCTCAACCCTAAACCCTAAACCCTAAACCCTAAACACACCCTAAACAAAACCTAAACCCCTCTTTTACCCTCCCAGATCTTCCCCGTCGAGAGGTTGTGCCTTGCATGGTTGGCACGGCGAGTACAAAACCTACGCCGGACCTTGGCTTTAGGGTTTAGGGTTCAGGGGTTGTTTGTGTTCTGGCTTCTTCTGGAAGTTTACAGGCTTAACAAGGCTTGATTCAGGCCCCTATTGGGGGTTCGGGTTTTGGCATAGTCTTGGGGGTTTGACTTTCCTTCGGCGTGGCCTTTAAGGTTTACGGACTTACTGGGATTCCTGTGACTGGAGGGGGACTCGTGAACGATGGGTCTACATGAGCAATGAGCAACCCTAAACCCTAAAACTAAAAACCCTAAACCCTAAACCCTAAACCCTAAAAACTAAAAACCCTAAACCCTAAACCCTAAACCGGAGTGAAGCATCTTCAACCTGAACGCCGGCCGCTCAGCTTACGCTCTTAGCGACAGTTTATGGACCAGAGCCGTAGCCTTGCGCCCGCCTCTCCGAGTTCCCGAACTGCCATTGGACTGTCGGTGTTTTTTTGTTGGGGCCTGACCCATCTTTGAGACTGTGAGGGCTCCAGCTGGATCTACTCTCCTTGGTGATTCGGGTTTTCTTGGGCCTACTGCTGTGGCCGCTCTTTGAGTTACTTTATGAGAGGCAGGCTTGCCGGAAGGCTAAGATTCGCATTCAAGTGGAGCGTCCTTGAGTGAACAGGGAGGCCCTCCAGGCCCAGATTGACACATTGAGTCATCGAGTCAGAAGTCTCGAGATTCGGGCTGGGCTTGTTGAGCCCCCTTTGCTGCGCCTTAACGTTGCTCGTGGTGCTGTGGGATTTCTTCCGTCGCTGCCTGGCGGGCGGTGACAAGCGGAGCTCCGGGCGACATCGCGTGGGAGTGCTAAAGCCAGCCCTACGTGCTGGCACGGGACAGGAGTGGGACCATTTACAACCCGGTCCGCGCCTTCTTCCGGTTCAACTCAGGAGGGCCGGGGCTTCGGGCATACCATCTTTGCCGGATTCGCCTCTCATATAGAGAGGCGAAAGTTGTAGTTGCGTAAGGCCGCTTGGGCTGGCTTCAGGAGTTGGATCCATGAGCGCTTCAGCCGTTCTTTTTTTGAGAGAGCAGATCGGAGCGGAGTGTTTTGGAGGACGATCTAATTATGCGAGAGTGGCGACGGCGATCCTATGGGTACCCGAGGCTGGTGCCTGGTGAGCGAGGGGGAGGAAGGTTGCAAGCTGCAGCGCCAGATTTCTGCGTGAGTAGTTCCCATAGTTGTGGTTGGGGGCAAACTGCTTGTAGCCTTGTCGTAGCACTGAGCCTGGAGATCAAGCGGTGGAGTGCGAGCTCAAGGTCTGGGTCGCCTATCTGTCGCCAGCGTGGAAGCTGATTGGGGCCGCCGAGATTTCCTTTTCCATGGGCTTGGTCAACATTGCGCTCCACTCCCCGAGGCACTGGTGCGGCTGGCCGACGAGCACGTCTCCTTCCTCAGCGCGGGCCCGTCGATCTTTCCGGTCCTGCAGCCTTCAGACCTGTTTCTCAGTGATAAGAACATGTGCTATGTCAAGATCAGATCTTGCAAAAACCGGCAGACGAACCAGAGCTAAGGTGCAGCACATCTCGGTCCGCAACAAGAAAGCTTTGCCTGTTTTGCAGCGTGTTTTAAAGGACCTTAAGGCGGACAACTCGTTCTTCCCTGGATGCCTACTCGAAACCTTTGTGGTGCCGAAGAGCTTCAAACTTACTCCCGGCGGTTTGAGAGCCGGGGGCACTGTTGTTGAGTACCACTGCAGCACCGACCCGGCTTCTCTTCAAAGGCAAATGTGGGTTCCACACCAAGTGACCTTGAAGGCTTATCTTCAGGAAGTAGGCGCCGAGAACCTCCTCTTGAAGCTAGCCGAAATGCCAGCCTTTACAACTACTCTGTTCTGCAGTGACCTGCCGGTTGGCTCCAGGACTTGGCTTGGTCCGAACGGTCACGAGCTGACCATGCAAAGCACCCACCTCTCCCACCCGGCGGGGGTCCGGAGGACTCCGCCCCGGGCAGACGTTCCATGCACCTCAGCCAGTGGGACGAGGAAAAGAGAGTCCGCTGTGCCAGTTGCATGTTGTGTTAGGTAGGAGCGAATGCTTTCGCGTCGTTGTGTGCGCCTAACGAGACTTGTCCACCGACTGCCTTCAAAGCTCTTTCTGAGCTTCATCCTTTCCGAAGCGAGTTTTTGCTAAGCTTCTGCAGCCGCGCATCACAAAAAATTGCATTGCTGTCGATGCTGAGAAGCAGTGGCCATGAGGTTTAACATGCCTTAATCTTCAGGGTGCCCTATGTTCTTGAAGGTTCTTGCATAGGGTTTCTACAGTAGTATTATATGGGCTTCAGCATGCCACCATGCCACCATGCGTGTTTGCGAGCCGAGGATTGCGACGCGTTCCAAATTAGTGCCTCTAAATTATCCGCCCTTCATGTCCGCAGGCTTGCCAAAAATCCCCGCTCCGGACAGTACACATGCTGTCCGGGTTCCTGCATTCTCCAAGC